AGTTTAAATAACGTTTAATAATCTTCTTTTATCTAATTTTTAAAGAAAATCATCACTTGATTTTTTCAACTTTTTTGAATTTTTAAACCAAAAAATTATTTGGTATTTAATAGAAAAAAATTAGATAAAGACAGAACCTTCTAAATTTTACAGATTTATTTTGAATTTATTAGTATTACTTTCTTAATTTTAAATTTATTAATTTTTTTTGAATCTTTTCGTCTTTTTTCAAAAATTAAGAACAAATATAAGATTAATATTTAGGTAAATTCCAATCCTTAAAGTAAAGGATTCAACTGTGCCTTTTTTTGATTACAGTGATTATTTAACTCGATCTCTCATAAATTCCCTCATCGAGTACCTCAATTGTCAATATTGAGGATTTCTTTTTACATCTGCATTGTCTTAAATTTTCTAAATTATAGTTAAGATGAACAAAGAAAGGCAAAAGTTTTTAATTTTTAAAAAGATTCATAATTTTTATTTATTAATGTTTGATTTTTTTATTTTTTTATTCCAGGCCACCCATATTTGTTAAAAATAAATTTTTATTATTAATCTCTAAATTCCAAGCATCTCATTTATTTCCATTAATGATGACTAATTTTAATTTGAAAAATTTTTTTAATTAAATGCCTATTTTATGATATGCTTAATCAAAAATTTAAAAATTAAAAAAACTAAAACCAAAATCAGCTGATTTTTCCTATGAAAATGGAAAAATGAGCAATGCTAGTATTTAAAAAATATTTTTAGATAAAATTTAAAGATAAATGGAATCATCAAAAAAAAATAAAAATATTTTAATTAAAGGATAACGTCAGAAAATAAAAAAAAATTCTTCATTTAATTAATAATTTAAAATATTAAAAAAATTGAGTTCAAAATTTTAAGTAAAAGGACTTAAGCATTAATGAGTATAAATATTTTTTTACCAATTTTTGGTACCAATTAGGCTTCCCGAATTTAATTTATAAAAGAATATATGTATCTTATAGTGTGGCTAAAATTAAAAATTATTTTTTAATTTAAAGAGAGACAATCTAACCTCAATATAACCAAATCTAAGGGTTCCATGAAGAAATAACGTTATAGAGAGAGACCGGACTGGGAGTGCCGTATCAACGGATCGTATAAGAGGTCTCAAAAAATCTTGTTTCGAAAAATCTTGATAATCAAGACTATCTTGAAAAGTTCTGTTAAATCTCGAAAAATCTTACCGTCATGAATCATACGAGATATCCCGAAAAATCTCGAGATCTCGCTGCGAGATCTCGCCTCGATCCGGTTACTAGTTATAACTAGATGTTTGTAGTATGCTGATGTTTGTTAACTCAAAAGTAATTTAGCAAGTAATTTTAATCAAGAATCGTTGAAAATTAAAAAAAAATAATTTTAAAAAATCGAGGAGTCGCCTGTTCTATCTTAAAATTACAGTAAGCCATTCACTCATTCTCTCATATATTCTCCTCACTGATTCCCTCATTCGCTTGCTTTAAATTTAGAATTTTTTAAATTTATTTTGATTTTTTTATCCGATATTTTTTATTAAAAAATTTAAATATATTCAGTAAATAATGACTAATTTGTGAAAAAAAATTTTTTTTTAATTTAAATTTTAAATGTTTATTAAAAATACTCTAGTTAATCAGATGATGTTAAATCAAAAAAATTTTTTCGTTTAAATTATGTGAGAAAAATAAAAATATATTTGGAACGGAAATGATGAATCCAAAAATTTAAAAAATTTAGAGATTAAATTATAGATTAGGAACGGAAATAGCTTCAGTTGGAACGTAATTGTAAATTTCATTTGGCTAGAAATAAATTTTGAATTTCTTGATATACTAAGGCAATTTTCAAGCATTTTAAAAAAGCTTGAATAAAACTTAGGAAAAAGTGACTTAGATTACAAGAGAGAGGAAATTTATTTGGTTAACAATTGAAGCATAGGAGTAGGCTGAAGAACCATATACATATCAGTAATGTCCCTGTTTCGCCTTTCTTCTTTCACCGATAATCGGCTTTTCTGAACGTTTGTTCATGCACTTTTGCCTTTTGCTTTTCAAATTAACTTTCTGAACATAAACTATGTGTTAAGCATTAGTATATAAGAGAAGCAGTCTTATATATATATGTCAGAAACCAAAAAAGATAGTCTCAACTAGATAGATATCCTGGATCAAAGAGTTAGGGTTCAGTCGCAGGATCTCTATACTTATTATTACGACTCCTTAAATCTTTTCTAAAGGGTCGCAAAGCAGTCACAATTTTTAAGCAGCCATTCTCGGAGCACACCCTCTATTTACAAAAATTATTTGAAAAAAAAATTAAAGTTTAAAATTTTAAGAAAATTAAATGAAAATACTTTTGAGAAAATTTTAGTAAAGGAAATGATTAATTAAAGAAGGAATATTTTATAATTACGAAAGTCATTTCCTCATTCTCTCACATGGATCCTCTCACCGAGAATCTCGATGGTCAATACAGAGGCTTTCCCTATTTATTTCGGTGGTAAAGCTATTGCTCTTAACTCTTTTTTTATTTTTCTAGACAGTATAAATTATTTAAAAAATTAAGTTTTATTATAACTTGTTCTAACTTGAATTTTAAAGTTCTAACTTGAATTAACATAAAGTTAGTCAGTTATTCCCGGCTCAGTTGAGTTTGAACCTTATAACTCATGAAAGTATCTCTCTCTACCTAAACTTTTTAAAGTTCCTGGTATCATTGGATAGATATGTAATTAAGGGAGCAGGCCAACTTACCGCGAGCCCAACTTACCGCAGAGCTATAACTTTGTTCAGAATTGTCGAATCCGGTACGCCTTGGTATGTTTCGATGCGCCTCGACGAGCTGGATCGAACTATACCAGGGCGCCCCGGATTCGACAATTCTGAACGAAGTTATCGCTCTGCGACGAGTTGGGCTCGCGGTAAGTTGGGGTGTACCCGTAATTAAGAGCTCTATATTATAACAAGTAATCAGAATTTTCGATAGATTGATAAAAAGGTTATGAAATTAAAGCTAATTTTATCAAAAAAGTGTGATCTCTTTTTTTATTCTAGACAGTTTAAAAAATAAAATTAAAATCGAGTATTTTTAATATTTATAGTAAATTCAATATCAAAACAAAATTAATGAGTAAATATTAAAAACAAATCTTGAAGCGTATATACATAATTTAAATTTAAAAAAATGAAAAAAAATATAATGAGTAAATTTAAGAAAAATTTTGAAGTTTAAACTTGAAATCTTTTCCAATCAAATAAATTTTTTAAAACAGTTTTGGCACACACCTCTGGTATGAAGTTTGTAGTTGCTCACAAAATTTCATTAATCACCTCCTCCAATTCTTCAATGGTTTTGAACGCAAGTTCTCCCACCTCGTAGGTCGCATACTTCTCTTTTTCAAATTCTAACAATGTGACACGAGCAAGGGTGAAGTTGTACGCTGCTTCGGCTGAGTAGTCTGCGAGTTCTTTGTCGTTGTTGACAGGGTCGGTGTTGTTAAAATCCGGGGGCAAAAAGCCGATTGTCTGGCTCATACAATGGTTTTGCACTACTGTTTGGCACTACAATGGTTTGATGGTATTAAAAGAAGTATCAATGGATTTAAGGGTCTTTAGGGGAGATAAAGAAGGATATTCCCAATATTCATTCTGAAGCTTAAAAATCGACTTATATCCACTTAATCCTCCGATAAAACTCAAATACCCTCGGTTTCCTTCCAAAACAATGGTATCCCCCTTAATCCTTTCAACCCACCCCCCCCCCCCCTAATCCCACCAATCCGCTTACATCCGCCGATATTAGTAACGTAATCTCTGTTAACCCCAAAAATCTCCGAATATCCCTTCCCTCATTAGGGGTTTAAAATGTATTTAAAATTACCATATTAGTAGCATTTTTTACTTTCAAAGTTTCCTCGAGGAAAATTTTTCTCAAGGAGACAAATGTTGCGATGGGGTCCTTGGCCAAGAGTCTTCCGGCGTCAAAGTAGCATGAAAAACATAATGGAGCAGGTTCGGGAACACTTGCATCTTGAGTCCAGCATTCTGCCGCGTTCCTGTCAATATAATAAATATTAATTTTCAGCGTGACAGGCAAAAATTTTGAGAATTTTGGAAGGCCAAATTTCTTTATATTCAGATATGCGCCGTAATCCCTTTACGCCCGCCCCATCAGCTTAAAAATAATTCATCCCCAATCCCTCTTAATCACAAATATTTCAATTCCGTTTCATACCTTAAATCTCTACTCAACTACTAAATATTAGTCCCTCTATAACTCTCCGTTTGAATTAGTTTAATAAAATAAAAGGCTCTCACCGGCCGAATTCGCAAAGTTCTTTTTTGCATTGATCTTGTGCTTTGCATTTGATTTCTTTTCGAGCTTAAAATTTAAATAATTTTTAAAATTTAATTTTTATTAGAAATTTTAAATTTTACATTCATAGAGGCTTCGGTCAATATCATATTTGGAAATATCAATATCCACGAAGTGCTTAGCCGATGGAGTTGATGGACAACTCTTTAAAAGCTCATTGAGACATTCATTATGTTGATTACAGCATCTAAATAAAATTAAAGTAGAGATAGGAAAATCAAGATTTTTTAATTTTAAAGAGATAACAGGACTGGCCCTAAACCCGAAAAAATCCACCCAAAATTGATACTTCGATAGGGAAAAGGAGATCGGACAGAGACAGATCCCCAACATGAAACAGAATTTCGATAGTACATAGAAAACGAAGAAAATCTCCCAAACAGAGTTGTCGGTCTCACTAAATTTTCGGTTAAGCGAGACAGAACTTATTCTCAAATTAATCGAAACCTCGGTGTTTCGACTTAGGGTTTCCCTAACTACCTATAGACTCAAATACTAATAGGCTCCAAATTTTAACAGTTATTTATTTAAATTTATTAAATTTTTACTTCTTTCACCTTATCAATTCCAACATCCACCAACTTACATAACTGCGATACACCATAATCAGCCAAATTTCCTAGGCCATCGGCCGCCAAGGAACAAAGCGGCGCCCCCAATCTCGCTGTCTTTACCATACACGCTGTTCAATTCCAGTTTGGACCTTTCCTGCAAGGCCCCGGCTTTCCTTTTTTCCCGGTTGCCGCTTCATCCCCACCGCATCCCTTATCTTCTTTGCCTGCTCGCGGGCCTCTTCCTTTTGTTGCTCCACCGTCTCCTTCCAATTCTTTAACATTTCCACATCAATCTTTATCTCTTTTACATCCTTTTTCAACTCCTCGATTTCCTTTTCCAATTTTTCAGTATTTCTCTTATTATTTCGTCTATCTTCCATCAGCATCTCTTCCAATCTTGCGATTTGTTTCGCTTGGGCAAGACGTTCATCCGTCGCCTTCTTTGCCTGAATTTATTTTCAAATTTATTGTTTAAAATTAAGTTAAGTTGTTAATCAGACGGGATTAGTGTAGAGGATACCAGGTATGTATGTAAATCAACGGGTTTTGAAATTTTTGGATTTTTTCCAATTTTGTCAGAATTTTTATTTTCAGATTTTTATTTTTAATTTCAGAAATTTTTCAGAATTTTTATTTTTAATATTATGAATATTCACAAAAAAATTTTCATTTAGACATGAATGAGATAACTTAAATTAAAAAGTTTACTTCAAGCAAACTTTAATTTTTCAATACGTTAAAATAGGAGGTCAGATTGATCTTTCAATTTTCCTCAAAATTTATTTTTTAATCCATTCAGGACCTAGTAGGCCTGTTAGTATTTTTGTTGATATTTTGGATATCTTATTCCTTCAAAAAATTTTCTCATTTTCCTTGCGATTAGAAGAAGCCAAAATAAGAATAATTTTTAAATTAGAAATTAATTTACATCCTCCGTTATCGCGATCACAGCCAGTTTGGTCTTCCTGACCTCGTCCTTCACCTGCTTGAACGCCGCTTTCGAGTCAAACTTTTAACTTTCCGTTTCCGTCTTCACATTTCCTATAAATATTTTAATGGAATATAACTATGAAAATTATTATGAATTTTTAATAATTATAGTTTTTGGAATGTAAACGAGTGAACTTTGGTATTTTAAGTACCCTAACGGATGGTCAACCCTTAACGGAAAATTGCCGAAAAGTTTTTCAAAATGTTTGTTTTATTTTTAATGCATCGCATTCTAGAAGATAGCAAAAAATTGAACGTGAATGGGATTGAAATATCACAAAAAAAAAGAGTCGAGATTGAAAATAAATTTAAAAATTTTAACTCGATTTAAATTCATTTTTTCATTAAGAAATTATTTTCTTCTGGTTTTTTTCAAAATTAATTTTTAGGCCATTCAGGTACCTTGGCCGTTCAGTATTTTTGTTCCTATTTTTGATTCTATTTCTCTCAATTTTTTTGCTTTTGATTTTAAGAGGTCTAAATATCAACGAATTTTTAAATTATAAATTAATTTACGTTTTCCTGTATTTCCTTTAGGATTATTTTCTGCTGTAATCCAAGTTGATTTATACTTAATTCAGAATAATTGACTTGATGTATAAAACTGTAGGTAGCAAATTTTTTGTGATGTTGTGGAAGGATTGGTGAATATTTGATGTTGTCAAGTTGGATGAGTGATCCATGTGATTATTAGTCTTTTCCATCCATTCTAGGTGATTCCAATCAAATTTCATAAAGCTCGAAGCTCCCTACATATCAAAGCTGATATCAACGAGTTGACTAGAATAACAAATTAATATTTTTAGAGAATAAATAAAATATTTTTTGAGTATTTAATATTTAATATAATTAAATTTAATATAATTAGACTATTTTTAATTTAATTTAATTACAACCCAAAATTTATTGGTTTATATACCCCAATTTAGCTTAAATTAATTTTGATGATTATTCATGGGAAATGGATCCAAAATTAATTTTTTATATTAAAATCGTACAATTTCTCATAAAATTTGGTTTAAATTGTATAATTTTGTTAATAAAAATATTATTTTTAGAATAATCACAGGACACTTCGTTAATATTTTTTAATTAAATATTTAGCTGTGAGAAAAACTGAAATTTATGAATCAACAAAAACATAATATTTTTACGTTTAATTTATATTATTATTAATTTTGGAAATGTTGGATTATAGTAATACTATTTAATTTAAATTATCGTAAAATCCATAAAATATCTACGGATTTATGTCAAAAAAGGATGAAAATTGTCTTTAATATTTATCTCGTTTATTTATATTTTCATTAACAGTATATATTTTATAATTATCTCCAACAATATTTTCATTATTATAAGTACATAGGTATCAGGGATGGGCCCTTCCGAATTTTTAAAAGCGGGAGAAATAAAAACGAAAGCGGAATGGGCAAAATAGATTAAATTAGGCGGAATACCGAGTAATAATTAAGCGGAAGTAAGACGGAAGCCAAAAGCTTCAAAAAAGGAAGTAGGCAGAAGATGGAGGTCAAAAAAGACGGAAATGACCGGAAGGCGTCGAAGGGATCCCATCCCTGGTATATTTCAATCAAAGATTACATTTATATTTTTCGTATCATTCTCAAACATTTCTGCATCGGAACCATATTCTGCATGTTTCCTTATGATTTTCATTAGCGTGATCTGTAGTCTGCAGAAACATGCGCAGGGAATTAATCATGTGGTTGACTCTATCATTACAATAAGTACTGGGACATACCATGTTCAGCAAACCCATTAGACTAGAAAATCTGTGCGCAACCTAAAATTTGTATTATTTTAAGTCCCCAAGTAAATTTCTCAAGAAAAGTTTGAAAAAAGTAAAATCACAAGAATCGAACATCTTTAGGGCTTATAGTGTATAATTTGTGACTATGAAAGTAGGGTATGCATCCCTGGTATATCCGATGGATTTTGATATGTTTGATTACTAGAGGCGAGATATTTAGGAAAGAACGTCTTAAAATCTAGCAAAAATTTGGCAGAGGCCGAAAACAATTGTATTGAGAAAATGGAATATAGTCCTCATTAACCAATCCATATGATATGAAAATTAAATCGGATTCATGTTTCTCAGATTTTGGGAAATTCGGAAAAAATAGGGCCTATTTCTAGCGCGACTTAAAAGGAGATTTATAAGAATATGTATGTATAACTCACTTCGGAAGACTTCTGCAAAAAAACTTGGCAATCGTTACACGATAAGACTCCTCCTTCAAAGAATTCACTAAAATAACAAATTAGTACTAACAAACAATTATACTAACAAACTATACTAACAAACTATTCTCTGACTGGAAATCGACAACCCTAATTTTCAAAAAATCTCTCAAATTCCCTGACTTTCGATAACGGGAACTGGGTACAACCCTATGAATTTACCAGAATAAAATACAGACGGTCGGACCTAATGTAGGCCCTAAAAAGATGTTTGGAATTAAAAAAAAAGTAGCATTTAGCATTGAAAAGATTAATTAGAACAAACGATTTAAGACAGCTGTCTGATATAATCGTACATAGTAAATCTTCTGTAGTTAAAGCTCTTCCAATTAGCAGCAAATTTTCGATTACTGTTTTTATAAATGTAGAGCATATTTCTGACTTTTCCTTCTCTTTAATACACATGAGCCGAAGTAAATTATCTGTATTGAGTTCTAAATGGTTCCAACTCTAAATAAAATTTTAAAGCCTAAACATTATATTATATTTATAAGACCACTGGGTGAGTAGCTAATTAAACATACCCTCTATCTAGGATAAATTTTCGAAATAAGATATACAATGTTTCTGTCAAAAGAAGATATCTTATCAAGAGGTTTTAATGTATATAATGAATTTCGATAGTACAGTATAAATAATATACAGTATAAATACAATATAGTATAAATAATAAATTTCGACTGAACTGGGCTATAGCTATTTCCCATCTTTGGCTAACCAGCTATAGCTATATCCCAGCTATAGATATTAGAACTGGGCTATAGCTATTTCCCACCTTTGGCTAACCAGCATCTCCAGTTGACCGATCTGATGTGTTACTCTTTGCACCATACCATATCATTCATAGCCTTAGGAATTAAATAGCTATATGCTACACTATGAGAGAAGTACCTAGTTTTAATCTTTAATTTATTAAAGCATCCCATCTTCAATAATAAAATTAAAACTGACCAAATCAATTATGCGCACTAGATTCCGGCATACTTGACACGATTCAGTGCTATTCTCAGTTTCACAATTTTCACTTCTTTCGAATTTATTGTTAATGTTTCCATGACCCAATGCTTGTTTATGAACCACTGCTTGTTTTTTAAAATAAGTCCCTTTATACAATGATCTTAAATAGAAAAATGTTTAAATCAAAGGTTAATCATATGATTAATAGATTAATAGAGAGTTTAATCGTTTTGTGGCACATGCTTCAGAAATTTTTTAAATTTTAGTTCCGTCTCTTGAACTCACTTCAAGGCCATATCCAGCATAAATGTCACTGTTAGAGAAGAGGGAGAGTGGATTTATGTGTGGAGTGAAAGGAAGAAATGGTTGTAGAGAAGGAGGAGAGAGGATCTTACGGATAGTGGCAGTTGGATTTCTGATCGGATTTTCAAAAATTTCGGGTATCTCGCTAACCGGTGACATCACTGATACCCTGCACTGCTGAATTTTTAAAACCTCAACTAAATGACAGATTTCTCTTAAAATTCTTTATTTACTAGATAGACATTCAAATAAGGAAGAAATATAAACTTACTTATCATTAAGCAAATCCAACAAGAGTTTGCTTGTATTGGACATTATCTCCTCTTGATTTTTAATTATAGACTCAATACTATTGGTTAGCAAATCATCATAGATGGAATTTGAAATCACGTGAGAGTCGAGTTTAGAATATGACTCTAGAATATTAAACGTATTATGTTTGTATTTTATAGATGAATCTTTTAATATTCATTAGTAGTATAGCTATAAATTGAGGCCTGGAGGTTCATTTTCGATTTCCGAATCCGAAAAAAGTTTTAGAATTTTATAAATTTTTAAAAACCTCGGAACGCGTTTCGAGAGTTTATTTTAAAGAAATTTTCAAATTGATCTTTATTTTTTGAGAAAAAATTTAAACTTCAATTGGAAATTCTTTAACTTAATTTTATTAGTCCCCCTCATTCTCGTGCCACAAATCCTGTATAAATCTTATTCATTACCCAATTTTTAATTTTAATTAAACTTTACTTATTTCACGTATAGATCCATGTGTTAACATAAACATTAAATTTATTAAAGCAAAACTAAACACACATTTAATTAAATCCATTTTAATATAATTAATTCTTTTAATTAGATCCATTTTAATATTTAATTAAACTTGATTTCAAACAAATAAAATTGTAGGTGCACAAAATTCAATTTTATTTTTTAAAGCTAAAGTCGGAGTATGAA